ACATTGCACTTCCTGACTACATCATGGATGCCTTGCAATTCTGGTCCCAAATGCAATTGTAAACGGAGCCCCTCCTGCCCTACTGGAGGCCAAGAGCTTGGGTGGAAGGGGATGCTGGGCAGGGGTCTGAGCTGGGCCTGCATACAGAGGCCAAGAGACCCTCCCAGCCAGCCCCTGCCCCCAGGCTGCACTTGCTCCCACCAGTCGGGCCCAGAGACAGGCAGGGCCCACTTGGCCAGGAATGCAGCTGCAGCTTCTGCCGCTTTCTTTGAAAACAGAGATTGACAAGGAAGTTCCCCCTCTGAGACCATGGGAGTTAGGATCCCACCTCCACAGCCAGCCACAGGAAAGGCTCTTCAGGGGGTCCACTGAGAACCCAAGCCCAGGGCTGCTTTCTTTTACGCACACACCACACACACACACAAGCAGACAGTTCACCAGACCAAGAATCAGCCCCTGCTGCTGGGCAAGAGCAGAGGTCAGCTGGGGCCGCATTAGCAAACGATGGCTGGACAGAGTCTTGCTTCCCAACCTTGGTTGACTGAAATACACACACACACACACACACACACACACACACACCACTGAGCTGGCCTTCCACTGTGGCCTGGCAGGGAGGCTCCTTACTCAGTGTTGACCAGGGTGCACCATTTTCTAATGGTGGTGTGCCTCGTGATTTTTTTCATGAAAAAAGTGTGCCTTTGCACAAAAAAGGTTGAAAAACACTGGTCTACAGTTCAATCAGCCTAGCTTACATAAAATAGCATGACCATGTTTGGGGAAAAATGGACTTCATTTACACTTGGCAAACACTGACCAAATATGTGAATAATGACCAGTACTATTCATTACCATTAGGCCAGACTGCTAAATGTGACTTATCTAATAAAACAAGTAACATTGTTTACTTTTGTTCAGTCTTACTGAAACATTTATGTGACAGCATTATTCGTTTGTGCCGATGCTTCATGCATTGAAAGACAGTTTTGGGTTAATGTGCGGTTCTTTTCTAGACCAATTCTTTTCCAGCAATTTGAAACTTTGACTGTTAAGTAATTGACAAGACTCACAAAGGTTTTAGCGTTCTGAAACAAAAAAAAAGTTGTTTATCACCCAATGTGTACTTTTTCTGTGGCCCTTCAGATCTTGGTCAGCTCCCCTTCAATATGATACTCTGCTGGCATGGATACAGATGATCATTCAGGTGACAGGCACACTTTGTGGGGAATGTTAAAAAGTAGCAGGCTGCATTCAGATTAGCATGTCAAGGCAGATTGCAGTCACAAACCCTCAGCAAACGGAAGGTTACGTCAATTCACACAATTGATCATAAACCCAGTTGAAAAGGGCATTGGTCAGTTCAATTGGTTCCTTGGGTAAAGGTCCCTAGATTCTGAGCTGCTTTCTAATATGGAAAACAAACTGTGGTGCAGTTTGGATTCTGCAGTTAGCAAAGCAGGTCGTGAAGGGCCTGTTATTCAAAGCCAAGGTTCTTGTGTATCATTTCTCACTTTTTCCGGCAGAACAGACAAAAATTCAAAGGATTCTCAGGCAAGGTGCAGTTTGGGTTGCAATGATACATAGAACTGGTCTGACTTGAGCAATGATTATGTTCAGTGCATACCATCAATGCCATCACCCTCTCCTCCTCATTGTCATCTTCATGGATGGCTTCAATGTTATCCATGCTCAGAAGGTGGAGCAATTAAGGTAACCTGCACACCTGTGTCCTGCACAGCAATGGCCATAGTTGTTCATTGTTGGGAAGTAGTGTTCAAGTCATTTCTGAGAGAATGGCAATCTACTGGAATTGGTAGCATAACTAAGAGGTGGAATTCAGCATTGCTGAATCTTAAACATTATAAAACATAATCTGCATGAGTTTTTACTTTGGAGTCAGAGTTAGTGATCATGATTGATCAGATTATCACAGAGCTGTATACTTTTATAAAACCAGAAGGTTGTGATTTTAAGATTCACCACACTGTTTCAAATATGGGTAACTGAATTGAAAATCTGGTTTTATCTATTAGTGACTCTTCAGAATTATTGATTAGATTCCCCCCCCCTTTTTTTGTATTTGTTTTATAAATAACTCAAGACTGGAAACATATATATTGCTCCTTCCACCTTATAGTTTTCCCAAAACAACAACATGTGAGAAAATTGCAGTCTCCTGAATAATCTTCCAGGCTGAGCTGGGTAAAAAAACAATTTGAAATGTAGAAGATGTGACCATATCCATAGAGTTATGCATAAAGATTTTTCCACAATAAGAGTCCATGTTTATTAGTTACAAGGGCACCACATTAACATTTACTGCAAATTCTCAGTTTGTAGTTGCAGGAGGAGGAAGAATTTGTACACACGTCTAAATTCACATACAGAAACACGCTATTTGGAAAAAAAATGGAAAAGAGACTGGCCATACTTCAATTCCAGAGGTCCACAGGGGTTGAATCCATATATAATCTCTTCACCTTTGCAAAATACCTGTTGGACTGGCCTGACAGTGAAGATTGCATCTCACTGGTCATAGAAAAGCTAGTTGCACCCACACCCAAGAATCTGCTGCCCATATTTATATTCTCTTCTTGGAAATGGATAAGTGATGTGATATCATGATCCATGTGGTTTAGACTAGTTTTCTAACACTCTGATTGGCTAATCAGATTTTGAAGCTGTACCTGATCTATCATGGGTAGACTCTGGAATCTTATTCAATCCCCCAAGCAATGGGCACTTTAAGACATACTGCCTTTTCTTTTCAGAATAAACCAATATATAGGAAATGCTTTTTGTCTCCATAACCTAGGCTACTAGTGACTGAGAAAGGCTTTCTAACAGTTATTCATTACTAACTGTTGATATTTTATACCTTCCAAGTTATTGCCTGTGGATATGTTCTATACAAAGGTGGTATTCAGGAGGTTCTGACCAGTTCTAGAGAACTGGTAGTGGAAATTTTGAGTAGTCTGGAGAACCGGTAAATACCACCTCTGACTGGCCCCACCCCCATCTTTTCTCTGCCTCCTGAGTCCCAGCTGATTGGAAGGGAATGGGGATTTTGTAGTAACCTTCCCCTGTCATTCCCACCAAGCCATGGCCACCAAGCCATGCCATGCCCATCAAGCCACATCCACAGAACCGGTAGTAAAAAAAATTTGAATCCTACCACTTGTCCCATATTAGGATAATCATTTCCTATTTCATTAAATTTCATCTCTCATGATACTACACATTGATAACCCTGGACCAGGAGACTTTGGCCCTCCAACATTCATGAAATTAACAGCTCCCAGCATCCCTCACCATCATCCCTGTTGGCTGGAGGTGCTACTGTGACTTGTCATTTGGCAATCTCCAGAAGGCCACCTGTTTCATCTCCCCAAAGCGCCAGCTCATCCCATCTGGAATCTATCAGTGTTGAATATTGATGTTAATAGAACAAACAAAGTGGCGTTAACATCTCGGTTCTTCAAATAAAATACATTAAAACAACACAGAGCACTTTGAGTTTTCCTTTAAAACGTTTCTTTCTACTCTGATGAAGAGCCATTTTATAAAATTCTGATTTTTATCTGCTGTTTGCAATGCATAGCAAAGTTTGGCTTCTACCAACATTGAGCTTTATTTATCTCTTTGAAGCAACTTTATATTTGGCAGTCTAAATAGATGGCTTTCATCAGGTTGTCATTTATTTTTTAGCACTGTACATAAATCACTTAACTGTGATTAAGATCAAGAATCCTTTCTTCAAGCAACATATTAATACTACTGTTGAGCCATCATCTCTGATGCTTCCAAACTCTACATCAGCTTTGGAACTACTAGTTTATGGGATATTTATTTATTTATTTTCTTTTTTTTCTTTCTGCAGTGGTTTGTTCTGTTTGTAGCAGGTTAGCACTTTCTCTCTGCCTTTTCATTTTCTGGATTATAGAGACTGCACTTCTAAGCCGGGGAAAAAGAGGCTGCCACTGGAGTAGGGAGACCAGTTTTAGGTCTGGTTGTAGCTCCCACTGGGTGGGGTTTCCCATAAATTGGAAGCTTGGGAAAAAAATGTTCCACGCTCATTTGTTTTTGTAGTTGGGGCAAATGCAGAGCCCCGTTTCCTGGCTATATTAACATATATGGCAATAGTTTTACTCAGCAACCCTATATATTTATTTTGTATTGTTTTGTTTTAACTTTTTATGATGCACATCACCCAGAGTTGAGATGGGCAGTTATAGAAATCAAATCAAATCATTAAAAACAGAAACATATAAAACCTGGAGGGGATGAAATGGTATAATATGCAATAAATAAACCAACCAATCAACAAATAAATAGCTAGATTAAAATAATTGTCATGCCTTGGGATGGATATTTTGTCTGTCCAA